TCTCTCTCTCTCTCTCTCTCTCTCTCTCTCTCTCTCTCTCTCTCTCTCTCTCTCTCTCTCTCTCTGCTTATGGGGATCCTGACCCTTCATGATTTAGCTCCTGGCATGGCCTGAAAGATATGGAAGCAACTTGGTTTCCTTCCCTCTTTTGCTCACTGCTGTGCTCTCAGGTTCCGGACTTTTCTCCATGGGAGAGGCTACACGGGGACGCTGGAGGTGGATTACCAGAAGCAGGAAATGAAGGTTGAGGTGGGTGCAGGCTCCCCAAAAAACTCCACATGATCTTTTGCACATCTTCTACGCACTCTACGTTGGTCGTTTGTCACCTTCGAGTCTTAGCGGTCCAAAAGTTGGTTGCCGAACTTTCACTTGCAAGCCATCCAAAGGTAATGTGTATGCGCATGCTCACACACAGGATGTGCCAGATAGCAGTAGTCTCCTTTCAAATTTTTTATTTTTTTTGTGGGTCCTCGTAACTCCCCATTTCAATTTTACAGTTCAGCTGTTCATCTACTTCATCAGCCGCGGACCGTTCGAAATGAAAAGGGCATGGTGATGTTACCGTGGTTTCTTCTTCTTTTCTTTTCTTTTTTTGTTTTTTTTTTGTTTTTCCTAATGGTGATGTTACCGTAAGACAATTGATAATGTTGAATGCTACCGGTCACTGAACGACCAGATCGCAACGCTTTACTCATTGACTTGCGGAAAGTGGTTCGCGGCGTGCCTGGCAGCATGGCCCTGGAAACCAAGGCATTGGTCGGAACTGAGGAAATAGTTATGCACTGAAAGTCTTGATTGCGTGCGTGATTCCCTACCATTTTTTTTTCTCTAGCACAATCTGGGAATTTTGCCAAACTCCGACCCCCGACATTAAAAAAAAGGCAGAAGGAAAAAAAAGCAGTGTGGAACATTGAGCCTAAAACATGTGCCATGATCAAGCTTTCTGCTAAGGGCCCTTAAATACCCACAAGGGCCACAACCCAGCACTTAACCGGTACTTCGGGAGAGAGAGGCCGTTAACGCCCCAGCTATTGCAACAGTCTGGGGACGGTTCGTTTTGAATGAATTTAGGCCAGCACGGCAGGCCTGTTCGTTCCAGAGCTTCCCAGTGTGTGCACGGCCGCACTTTCGAAAAGTACATACACTGGTGGTCTGATGTTCTTCAATGCAACTCGGGTGTTTTGGTCATTTTTGTTTTGTTGCATTCTCGAGGGTGATAAGGAGTGCTTTGCGAGTGCGTGACTGGCCCAGAAAGTGGTTCAATGACTTCAATTGGATTACACGGAATGTTGCTGAAATTCATCGCACTGGATGAAGGCGAAGGTGGTCAGCCTTTGCCTGGGTTAAGGCCCCTGGTAGACTACTCACGACATGCAAAAAATGGAAAAATAATATGGCTGTGTATCTTACCATGTCCTAGAGAAGATGCATTCTCATTTTGCGTGTTTGTTGAGTAGTGGAGCGAGGCCCTAAGAAAGAAGGTTGTTGATCCCTCCCCTCCCCTCTCCTCTCCTCCCCCAAATCCTTCTTTCATTCAATGTGTTGGGCCTGTTGGCTCTGTTTTCCTCCCCTCCTT